ACTTCCAAGAAACCCAATATGCAATTTAGGAATCTTTGAGGATGTGTCGTTGCATTATTTTTGCCATTTTCTTTACCTAACTTGAACATTTTCTGAAAACAACAATGTTATTTATCAAAATAACTTTTGGAACAATTTGTTGTTGTGACAGGCTTGTGAGGAGACATGCATAAAAATATGCATGTTTTTATGTTTTGCATGTCTCCTCATGCTCTGTCATGGATTGGTGACCTTTACATGGTGCTTTCCGTATTGACTATTGGCAATTGGAGATTAGCATTGACATGCAAACATTAAGTGGGTATACCAAAAGTTTATTTGATGATTCATTATTAACCTATGAGTTATAAGCCATTATGGATTATTATTTTCAGTTCAGTCTTTAGAGGCCTTAGCTTTACACCTTAGTTACTTTAATTCAGATATTAACTCATTCAAACCTGCAAATATCCTGAAACCACACCCTGCTGTGTTAAATTAGCCAAGAGATGGATCAGTGAAGATGTAAACAGGCACTTAAATGCTCTGGTTTTGGTAGTTCCTCATCATTGCAAAAGCTTTAGTCGTGGAAATATGATAGCTTGGACGTCTAGTCTTTCCAGGCTGCTTTTGTCATAATAGAAATTCTTGCAATTGCCTATTGCTCTCTGCTTCTAACAAGCTAACTTGAAAGAGAGATGATTCTTTCCAACTATACATTTCCTGCCAAGTGTAAAGTAAAGAGAATAGAAAGTTTGTAGGCTGATCAGGGAAACGTCTTCAGTTCAAGTTGTCATTCTTCCATAGATTCATTTTCTAACACCCTTGTCCTTAGTGGGGTCAGCAGGGGTGCTGGTGCCTATCTCCAGCAAACATTTCAGGCGAGTGATGTGGTTCTCCCTGGACAGTTCGCCAATCTGTCGCAGAGTTCAAATTGCTCTGTAGCAAATTATTTTGAGCTTTTTTTTTTTTTGTATTGTCAATTGTATTTAAATATAAGTATGGGCAAGTAGGAGGACTGCTGATTCATGCTTCAAGCTTTCATGTTTGTGTTGTTAACTATATTAGTCATTTATGCCTTCATAGTTTGTTCTATCAATCTCAGGAAACTAAACAATGAGACTGGCTTCCTTCATTTTTGCCTCTCTGCTTAAAAACCAAGGTTTACACAAATGCTTTAGTGAGCTCTAATTACAAATAATGACTGCAATGAGACGTTGCATGTGGTTACCCTAGAAACTCTGCAGATGCCATGCCAGTGGGTGTTGTGTTGATATATGGATGTTGTGTACAAAATGCTGCCCATTAATTAAATACGCCAGAGCTGCAAATGTTCAGACATATCCGGATGTGCTGGAACACACTTCTTTCTTTTTTCCTCTTTATTAGGACCGGTTGTCTACATAATGTTCGTGTAACCAAGCTTAAAATGAAAGCAGTAATATTTTTCTCAGAATTAAGTGTGCATGGTATTGTCATCTATCTAAAACAGCATAAACTACAGGCTGTGCTTGTTGCCTCCATAAGGAGAACAGCCAGGCAAAAAATAAACAATGCAGATAAGAACTGCCTATACTCAAGACAAATGTCTGAGCTTCACATGTGTAGCGAATATCAATTACTTTAATGGACTTTTAGATCCATAGCACAACCAGTCTCACTGGTTGCAAAAAGTCCCATTTGTCTCTTCACTTATCAATAAAATTAATTAATCCAAAGATGAATAGCTGACCTTTGCATTCAGTTCTTAACAATTCCTCTAAAAGGAGGCAGAGCAGATTTCTTATTATTTTTATGGCTAGTTTTTATTTAAAGAATACACATGAGAAATCATTTTACTGAAGTTTTTAAAGTCAAAAAAGTACATCACATTGATGAGCTATATAAATTATCTACCAGACAAGCATTTCTAAATCTAAGATGCACAACTTTTTGTTGCCTGTGATAATATTTCTTGTCTATAACTTAGATATAAAATATATGTTTGATTATCAGATCCCAGGAGGAAGATTGCTCTGGATGATCTATTTCAGAGTTTATCACTTAGGGGAGTTTGGTATGAAAATAGGAAAGGTTGAAGGTCACTGGAGAATCCACTCACATTCACATCAGTGTCTGGTCTGGTCATGAAGGGAAAACGGCTTTTGGATCTGATACGTTTTCTGGTATCAGCTGCTCATGGAACCTTCTGCATCCTCACATGGCTCCTTTCCATTTGTCTCTTTGGCTTAAAGACTAACTCAAAGGACAACATTGCCTCAGTCTGCCCCTAGTGGTCACTTTTAGATAGGACAGTGAGTGGTGGTGTCTTATCTTCACTTTAGGTTTTGGGTGGTTCTCTACTTTAAACTTGAACCAGGTTATCAAACCAGGTTCAAATTTGACAAAAATTATCACAGTATTCAACACAAAACAATTGAAACTGCTACTAAAATGAATTTGCTTCTCTTGGTGACTTGGCTGGATTCATTTATTCTTTGGTGAAAGCTGTGGTTCTTATGATAAAGACATAAAAATCGATTTTCTGGGGACATGCGTGATGTAATGGTATAGATTGCAGGTGTCAAACTCCAGTCCTGGATGGCCACTGCCCTGCAACTTTTAGATGTGTCTTTGCTGCACCACACCTGAATAGAATAATTAAATCATTAGCAAGGCTCTGGAGAACTTGTCTACACAAGAAGGAGGTAATTAAGCCATTTCATTCCAGGGTTTTGTAGCTGTGGCACATCTAAAAACTGCAGGACAGGGGCCCTTAAGGACTGGAGTTTGACACCCCTGGTATAGATGGTTTACGCAAATGGCTGTTGAATTCCTGGTCTTGAGCTCCTTGCTGCAGGCCTCCCCCAACCCCCATGTCTCTGTCTGATTACCGTCAGACATGTCTCTGTACTGACATCCGTCAGAACAAGTGCCACAAAATCAGCAAAAAAAAAACATTTTCATAAGCACATAGCCAAATGGAGGTCAGCCAATTAGAAGCAAAATATGTTTGAAAGCTATGTGACATTAAAGGGAATTTGATCAGTCGACAAGAATTTTACCAAAACCAAACAAAAACAATTTGCTTCAGGGCATGAACAAGTGTGTTTTTGGTTAATTGTGGAAAAAAAAATTAATTATGCTTTGTACCAGAATAGTTAGGCTTTGCTTTCTTAAACCTTATAAAATGTGAACTAACAAGTGTGAGTGAAGCCACTGAAGCTGAATAGAGCTATTAGTCTTTTGCTCTCAGGCAGCAAATTTGTGTATTAGATTTTACATCCTCCAAGGTCAACTCCATGAAGCAGTGCTTGGCTTGATTATTAGAGAGTTTTTGAATGTTTAGCCGAGTTCCTCTCGTGTGTTTGGTTCCACAAGCAAAGCTACATTGTTTGGGGCAGAAATGTAATTGTTTGCTTTTAAGTTGGTGGAACTCTGAATCACATCCTCCGATGATGCCAATTATGTCTGTTGGTCCGTACTTAGAAAGTGTGGTCACATACCATGATGGAGCACGATCAATGATTTTGTGTGAGAATACACTCACTCAAAACATAAGTCCAATTAGTCTCTTCAGTTTCAATAGCTCCCTTTGCCACCCAGGTGAACTATCAGTTTTGCATAAAAACAAAGGCTGAGCAACTGTGCAAGAGATTTAAAAATTTCCTCAAAGCTAAGTTCAACTAAATCACATCTAAACATAAAAATGAGCATCGTAAACTTGAATACGAGTTGTTGTTTTTTCCTCAATGTTGTAACATTAATATAGCTCAGCAACAGATTCTATTGCAAGATAGTCTTATTGAGGTGCTGCAGACCAAACCATATTTTAGGAAATAAAAGTACAAATAAATATAAAACTATTCCTCAAAAAACATTTTTCGGTAACTACTCTGACCTGAGATAAAGTATAAATAAAAACTTTCCTTCAAACAATCTGCACAACTGCGTCTTTAAGGGTAACAGAAAACAAAATCTAGGTTTGCATGAGTAAAAAATATAATCAGGATTAGCGTTCCCAAACATGTGGACAACATGGGTACACATTACTTGGAAGTGGCTTTAGCAGTTTTCAAATAATAGCACTGTAGGTTGATTTCCTTCAGCATTTTTTGACCTCAACTGACCAATAAATGGCAAGTAAACAAAACAGCTGAAAGACCTGTGACCCATGATGGATACCATAAGAGAGATGGATGTGAGGAAATCTAGGCCACCAGTAATAATTAACCTGCTGAGGTCAGAGTAGATAGCAGCATCGAAGGATCAAGTGCCTCCATTTGAGAGAAAATCAAGGTCAAGGTTATCATAGGCTATTCGACTGAATTCCCTTCTCATTCCTAACATACGATGCATATAAGAAACGCAAATGTATATATAAACCAAACAAATATTGAATATTGAAGTCATGCCAAAGTTAATGAAAATAAAGACATTTGGTACAAATTTAGCCCTTGTACAATATTTCTTTCAAAATATTAAATCATTTGTTTAGTTTCCCTCAAAACTGATATCAAAGGACAACCAAGTGTCCTCTGACAAGAAGGTTACATCTGGACATAAACCAATGCTTTTTGCATCTCCTTTCAGTAGCTAACCGATACACTGTCTTGTAAATGGCTTTGAGTGACTTCAGCGAGAGGTCTGCATCAATGCAAATGCATTATAGCTGCAGGAAGTCTAAGTATTTGCATCCTTATAACCACTATTATATAAGCAGCATTTATACGTATATATGTTATTTTCCCCCCCACGCACATGGATATTTTTCAGTTCTCCTTTTTCATTTATTTACAGATCTTACAGTATCTGAAAAACTTTTTGAACAAAATACAAACTGAACAGAAACAAACAAAAGAATAAAGAACTCAATCATAAACTGCTATGTGTGAACTGTAGACTTGAGTGTTCTTTTACATTAAGTTTGATGTCTTATACTTACAATTATTTCATAGAACAGTTCACTAAAAAAAGCCTCTACAAGTAGCCCGAAGTGAGTATGAAGAACTGAGTGTCTCTCCTTATTTATCTCTCCACAGACACAGACACTGCAACCTCGCGTGTGTTTGTGGGAGTTTCCTGCTGAAGGAGAGACCTTCTTTCCAGAAGTCAGCACTCAGAGATCGTAAGTAAATGCTGTATTTTCCATTCTATTTTGTTTTAACTCGACCAAATCCCTACATTATTGCGAGAATCACTGACTTAATATATCGCAGCGAGACGGTTTAATCTAAAGCTAAAAGGGCTATTAGACAGAGCGTGGGTTATGTGTGAGGCAGCATCCCATCTCCGTCTCTTTTATTTAGACCTGAAACACAAAGGCAAATAAACCTAATTGTACAAAGACGAACTGCCAAATCCCCCCGTCAATGAGCCACATCCAAAAGCTAAATATTTTCTTAAACGTATATCCTCTTTGTCTATGTCTGATCATACAATAATAAGCCTTTCAAAGTGTACCATGAATGCCAGTGATTTACCTTCTAACTTTTTCAGCCCTGCTGTCTTTCTTTAGAGACATTATGTTCATCTAGTCAAAGCTGCGTCTCCATGGAAATCCTCTGTTTTTATGACACTGCAGTGAAGGTGCGATTACTTCAACAGCAATGATGTGTGTGCTTGTCCGCTGCGGCTTTTGCTCACTTCTGCAACTCTGCATTGATTCCATGCCAGAGAGCTGAGCGCCAGGGCCGAATGGTTCCTCTGTGATGGCCCGGTGTACCTGCCAGTGCTTAAACAGAACAGGGGACGTTATAATAATGCTCCAGGGTAAAAGTTTGCAATCAATAGAGTAATCAAATCTGAAGCAACCATAAGCGTTTAAAAAGAAATGCACTTTGAATCCATTTACATGAATATTACAAATGCTTTTTTATGTTTTGTCTGTAGTATACCAGTATTAAAGTGTTTCTTAGCATCCATTAATCTTTGTGTTAATCCATCAGTGAAGCCAACGCTGTATTATGCAGAAAGAGTAAAATGCTTTCTCTAATTATCATATTAAATACAATTTCTGGAAACATCAAAAACATTTTGCTCATCCTCACAATGCTTTAACACTGCAATTAATTCACCGGCCCATTTATTGTCTCGTCGTGGTTGCCACTTAGCGTAGGTAAAACCTCTTCTGTGCTGAATCACTGCCACAAATCTCACCCCACTCTTTAATATAGATCAGTAGCATGGAAAATTGAAATGGAAAATGTTCCCAGTTAAGTCATGAGTCACGTGTCCAAATGTAACATTCACATTTAGAAAATCTGAGGGAGATCTCATAACGATATATTTATTTTCAGCAACTGTCAAATAGGAGAACATTTCTGGTTTCATGTGATCGGCTGATAATCTATTTCTGACCAGAGGGGTTTTAAGCTTTCTTAATGCAACAAATGGATCTTGTTAATAACATAATGATACCTGATGTATATATTCATGCAAAAAGTTTTGGTTGAGTAGGAAATGTGTTGTATATTCTTTATATTCTTTGGTATCTGCATTTGTTACTTACACATAAATATGTTCAGCAAAGAATAATTTTTATCATGCAACAAGGCTAAAAGAATTGTGATCACGAAAAGCCGCCGCATTATTGTCGTAGTTGTGATGTAATGAGTAAAAACATAGATACAGGTGGGACTGAGCAACACCCAACATCAGTGCATTTACTTACCAATAGGTACTAATGTGATAAAATTAAACTATAAAGGTTCCCTTATCTCTTCATTTCTTGCTTGAAAGGAATCATCATAAGTTTTGGAATTCCCATCTGTTTTACGAATCATTGCACTTGTAATGTAGCAAGAGGAATATGGCATTAATCTGCAATAAGCAGTAGACCAGAGTTAAAGTCCAATTGTATCCATCATTTTTCAAATTATATTACTCTACTGCTTTATGCCATACATAAGTAATTGCAGTTATAATAAATATGGCTCAATAGGAATAAGGAGCTATAAGATCTTTTTAAAAGTGGTGGACAACACAACAGGGAGACTCACAAACTCACAGGCATAAGAGAAAAAAATATTTTGTTTTAGGAGGTAAACATATTTGACATTTTCCTCTAGCTGTGCCCAACAAATAAAGTGCCACTCTTGAATATCTCAGCGTTCCCACTGGAAAGGAGAGGCAAGTGTCCTTTAACACTTCACGCTGATCTGAGTAAACTGTGACGAGAAGAGAAAGCCACAGAGCACTTGGAAAGCTGATCAAACACCAGAAATGACATCAAAAATATTGTAGAAGGAATATAATAAGCAAATGTAAAATTGTTTCTATTCTAAACAGAAGAGAGTTTGTTTTTCTGCATCTCTCTGTGTGGAGTTATGTTCTAGCAAGAACATTCTTATGCAATCCATTGCTCTGCCTTTAATGATCTCTGAGCTCATGAGAAGCCAAGATAAAAAAAAAAACAGCAACGTCTTAGTCGTTAAGGATTCAGCATGTATGAAGGCTGTGGTTAAAAAGCAGCTGTCAAACAATCAGATATATTTTACTTGTGACAATAAAATGTTAAAAATGCAGAGCTAGATCTTGAATTAGACGAAATTCAACCAAGCATTTTCAAACAAAAAATGTGTGCAGTCAAGAACTCGTGCGGACTTTGACTTCTGAAATGAGACACAGACTGGGGGCTAAAGTGGCAGCAGTGGTTCATCTCCGTCCTGGGAAAGACTTTTCACCTGCTTTCAATATGGAGCATCAGACGTCCCGATACTGGCGGAAAAAATACCATTCGCTGAAAGCTGGTCATAATTTTGGCTCAGCATATAAAGAAACTTTACACTCATGAAGGGGAGTTGAGATAATGTAATGTAAAGTGTTTTTTTTTTTTTAATTCTCACATTACTATAGAACAGTTCGTTTTTAAAAACTAAATGTTCTACAATTTTATTTTCAACAAACGCTTATTTCCAAATTAAATAAGCATTTATATGTGCTTATGTATGTGCTTATTATGTGTGTGAATGGGTGAATGACTGAGTGTAGTGTAGTAAGGTTTGGGGTCTTTTGAACTTGATAAAGTGATATACAAGTATAAACCATTTACCATGCAACCTGCAGCATTACTTACTGATTTAAAAAAAACAAAACAACAACATTTGGACACTCCAGTCAGATATTGTTCTTAAGGACATAGAACTGGATGCCTTGTTTGATTCAACTAATAAAATATATTAAGATTTTTCTCAACATCTTTAATTTCTTCCCTGGGATCACTGTGTTTTTGGCTAAAGAGAAGGCAGTGATGTGTATTTTCTTGCAAATGTATTTAATGCAATCTGCTTTGTGAATCCACTGCAGGAAAAAAACAACAATCTAATTGCAGGTGTAATGCAATTTAGAAAATTGATGAGATTCCTGTGCTTCATTGACTCTCCCCTTTTTTGTCTGAGACATGCAAACATTTAAAAACAGCCTCCTGATAAAGCTGTTCCCTGAATCGAGTCTGTCCCAACGGGTTCCTCCTGAATAGTAAATGCTTTAATACCGGCTCAGGTAGAAATCCCCTCAGGTCAAGATGTGTCCCTCACTATTTTGTTGCATCAAAATAGTAAGGGACACATGATCTAGAAGCAGACCCAGTGCAACAGTTGCATCAATAAAATTGATCAACTTGAATTTACACTGTAAAGGTCTCTCGAGATGTGCAGCAGGATCATCCGGCCACAGTGACTCCATACGCCCTGTTCAAAGTCACAGTAAACAGCAGCAGTCAAATGATTCCATCAAAGGCCAGACTGGTTTTTCCTTGTGGGAAGCATTTACCAGATCAAAATGAGCAGACAGCTTGTCCGCCTCTTGTAACTTATTCTTATCTTACGCCTCTAAGACTTGCTCCGCTTTATCCCTGGCCTCTCCGCGCAGCTACAAAGCTTGACTTTACTACTCACTGTTCCATTCTTCCTCTGGTTTAATCCTACATCTCCTCCCTGACTCCAGTATACACCACACATATGTTTTGTTTTCTCCTTCTGCTCCTTGACAGTTGAAGCTCTGTGATGGTGAACCCCAAGAAACCGTTGAACACAACATATTTATCTGGCCCCTTGAGCTCAGAGACAGTGAGTTGCCATGGATTTTTTTTTCCCCCCTGCACTGTTTAGAGAGAAAGATGCCGGCATCTTTAGAGCAATCACACAGCTGGGCTTGTGCCAACGAGGCACTGGAAGAAGAAGAAAGAATGTGGTGACATCAGTGTTGCTAATCAAAGTTGTGTACTGTGAGACTACAGTCGGCCTATGAAACATAGGCTGTGCTTCCTCTTCTGTGAGCTGGACTGGATTAAAGCCAGATCTTTTGCTCGGCAGAGATGACAGAGGGATTTCTGTGCCAATATAAAACCGGATGTGTGTGACCGTACATGTGTGTGTCTTACACGCTGTGGGTGTGATCATCTCCTGATTCATCAACATGGTACACGTCTTCTGTCACAACAGTGACGCTGAGCTTCTCTGTCAGGCTGGGTGACACTGCACTCCAATTAATCGCAGAAACGTACCACTAGTGAAGTCATTATGTATTCCCGGAGTTTCATCTTGACATCCACTTTTCCCTTTAAAAAAATAAAAACACTGACAAAGAAGCTACACGTAAAACGGCATGGCGGTAATGAGTAAGCAAAAGTGGCAGTTGACAAATGAAACCAACTATGAATATGACGCTGTCGGTTATGATTAGACCCGCTCTCTAATTTTATACAGCTTTCATCCTAGTGTTGCTGACTCTTTTTTTTTTCTCTAATTTTTTGTTCTCTTTAAATTTGTGGGATAATGAATAAAGAGGTGTAGGGCACACAATTAGAGTAGCAGTGAGATCTATAGTTTGTCAGAATCAAAATATAAGGTTTCTGCCTCCTTTGGGTGGTTAGATTGTTTTATTTTGGTGATAAAATAGAAGCACAAATACACATAATAAAAGCCTGGGGCTAGTATAATAAAGTCTGATATGGATGACAAGCTGCTAAACATAAGTATGCAACGTACACCTGTGTAATTTCTTATCAAATCAAGATTTAAAAATCATTCTACACCAGGTTATACTTATTCTACACAATTCAACTGAAAACATATGCACAAAGTAAACAACCTGATTGCATAAGTGTGCGCAACCTTAAGCTACAAC